CATCTTCTATCAATCATTTTAAAAATTTGATCATACTTATCACTGTTATTGAAGCTTGCAGCAATTGCCTCTTTTGCTCTATCCATTGCTTCATATATGTAAGCCATTGGAGGCTTCTTTAAGAACCTTTAATAAAGGACCAGCTATTTTTAAGGCATACACTATAGTGTTCCAAAATGATTGCTATAAGATTGTATGTTGAGATTGTTTTGCTTTAGCCCCTTTCGCATAAGGACCCAAGATAAATTCCTCACAAGTAAACATTTTCTTCAGTTCAGTTGTTGTTGATGAAAACGTTGTAAAGTTAAGAAAGCTGTTGCAAAGCGAGTCTTTGCGGGTTTGACAAGTGCTTTTTGATTTGTGCACCTTCTCATTAACTCAAGTAAGCGAGGCCTAGAATATATAAAATTGTGTACTGCCACTGCTTTCTCAAAGCATCGTCTTAACTTTTGAATTTTGAAAATGTCCTCCATTAATAAATCTAAACAGTGAGCAGCACAAAGAGTCCAATAAATGTGAGGATATTTGTCCATCAATAATTTTCCTATTATGTCATTATAATTTAAGTTAAGATGTACACAAATTCTTCATGAAATAACATAACTTTAGAATAAAAGTTGTGACAAACCTGCAAGAACATTTTCGTATGCATAATCAGTGACTACTTGGATCACATTATGTGGTCCAATAACCTCGATATACTTGCAAAAAAGTTCAAACATTTTCACAGCATTCTTGGAGAAAGAACTAGCATCAATTGATTCTATGAATGCACTACCTCTTGGACAATTAACAAAAAAATTGATTAAGCTTTTCCTATTCCTTGACGTCCATCCATCTGTCATTAGAGAACAACCATATCGTACACAATCTTCTTGATGGCGTCGCAATAGCTCATGTGTATGTCCAACCTCTTTCTTCAAACAAGTAACTCGTACCTCATAATAACTAGGAGGTTTCATTCCAGGTCCAAACTGCCCAAGTGCCTCCACCATAGCAGGGAAATTATCATAGTTCACAGGATTAAATGGAATCCCAGCATCATACATCCATCTACTGAACACTTGAAAAGCCCTTCCCCTCATTTCCTTCTTAACTGCATCCATTTCTTTGTTAAACTGACATTTTCTATGCTTTACTACATCTTCAGGATTTGGTGTAAGGAAAGTATCTAATAGACCTTTAGGTCGTGATGTTTTGAAGATAGATGTAGATGTCGATCCTTGACTAGATGTGTTAGATTTATTTGTCCGCAACATTTTGGATGGTTTAGCAACTAAAATATCATCTGTCATCACATCAAAGTCTTCTCCTTCTTCTTCAACAAGGTTGACATTTGATATGTCATTAAAAATTAAACTGTTCCTTTAAATCTTTTTTTTTTTCAACATGGATGCCTTAATTTCAGATTTCACATGCTCGGGACAGTTAGAGCAAGGCCTTTCATTCCTAAAACCCCCAACAAGGTGTTGTTTGTGGCGTGTAATTCCTCCTTTTATTATTTTACCACAAAAAATACATGTCACACTGTTGTTGTCGGATTCATTTGTTAGTATAGCATATTTTCATGCTGGATCTTTTTTTAAAGATTGAACTGAATCTGACATTTTATGATCACCTAAAAGCAAACAAATTTAGATAAAAGAAATATAATATTGTCCAAGAAACATAATATGAGGGCTGCCGGGGGTCCAAGGGGGCAACAAATTTAGGTCAAGGGGCAGCGCCCTTGCGGGGGTTTCCGGGGGCAGCGCCCCCGGAACAAAATTTATTTGTAAGAGGAGTTTTGAAGTTCGTTTGTATGGAAATTAGGAAGCGATACCGAGCGTGTACCTAGTTGTACTGAACTGTACCGAGTGGTACAGACTACAGAGCATGTAACTAGCGGTACCGAGCATTTACATAGCAGTACCGAGCGGTATCATGCATGTACTTAGCAATACCAAGCATGTACCTAGTTGTACCGAGATGTACCGAGCGGTACAAATCATGTAACTAGTGGTACCGAGCATGTACCGAGCGGTACCGAGCATTTACATAGCGGTACCGAGCGGTATCATGCATGTACTTAGCAATACCGAGTGTGTACCGAGCGTGTACCTAGTTGTACCGAGTTGTACCGAGCTGTACCGAGCTGTACCGAGCGGTATCTAGCATATACATAGTGGTACCGATCATTTACTTAGCGGTACCGAGCATACCTGTTAAGTTGTAAATTCTTGTAAGAAATAGCCATGCAAAACAACAGAGATGTGCGGAACAGACGGATGTTGCAAATCAGAGTCAGCTGGTAAGATTTTTATTGGAACAGACGAAGGAGGGGGCGGATTTGGCAGAATCACTGCTCAGCGGGACGATTCGGCGGAAACAACGACTTCAACTTCGGGACAGATTCGGCTGGATTCAACGGAAGTAGCGAATGCAGCAAATAAAAAACAAAAAACCTTCGACTTCGGGATAGATTCAGCGACCTCGACTTAGGGACTGCGAGATGTGTTCGGCGGATGCAGCAAACAGAAAATCTTTCGTGAAATTAGGGCAATGAATAGTCGTTTATCTTAAAATATAGACATATTTTTAAATATAAAAAATATTCATAAGTATACGGAAATTTAAAAACAGATTGGCACGTTATTTTGCGCCGTGCGCAATGCGCCATGGCTCACATGTGGCGCAAATAGCGCGCGCTATTTTAAACACATGCGCCTCGCCATGAACATGGCGCCGTAGGTGCGCCGCGCCGCGCCGTGCGCCATGGCGTGCACTATTTTGCGTCGTTGACAGCTATGATCGTTAAATAGGAAAACTCATTGCAGTAGTTAAAGGATCTTAAAGTATTGCAGTTAAACTTCTTAGTAATATAAACTGATTGCTAAAAATCTGTCCCGAGCAACTTGAGGAATACAAAATACATCTAGCAGCGCCAGCACTGATGAGGAGCTCTACACCAATTGCTAAAAACCTCTCTCTCTCTCTGAGTATAATATGATTTTAATCATAAAAAATAGTAATATTTAATAGAAAAAATACATTTTTAAAACTTTGCACATTACAAATACTAAATAAACAAGCATTGCTAAATAGATTGCCTAAAATAAAGTACTCATAAGATCCAAAAGTTATGTTTTAAGTTTAAACAAAACAACAAAAACTTAAGTTGGTAACTTCCATAGGGAAAGCTTAATCTCAATCTTCCCTACTATCCATTTCATCACCCATGAAATCTTCCTCATTAATGTAATTATAGACCTCAACCAAATAGTATGTTTGTGTATGCTAAAAAATATTAAAAACAAAGTTGCATCATAAAAGCAAGTGCTCGGGCGCAAAGCATCTTATACCAAGGAGCCTTAGGCTTTGTTTGAAACAGCTTTTTTACCGCTTCTTAAAGCAACTTTAGTACCATTTCTAGAAAGTTGCTTTAAGAAGCGGTAAGAAAACCATCCCAAACGAAGCCTGAGTGATGAAGCCCGCCTAGGAAGCATCTAATGCAATAAATACCTCACCTCAACTTGCCCGTGTGCCTAAGCTAAAGCAGCTAACTCGTCTTTGAGAAAAATATCCATGTCGACCCCATATAATCATGAAATTCAACTATAATTTTATCCATAACACAAATATGCATCAAAAAGAGGAAAAATCCTAAATTATCACCCCTACTATAGCTCCTATGTAATAATCATATTACTAATAAGAAAAAGGAATGGTGTAAGGGAAATATCAAACCCATTGATAAGCCAAAAGATAGGAAGAATCACAACACAAAAAAACCATAATAGGTGAATCACACTAGCACGAGTAGAAGCCACAATCATCAAGGAATTTTCAAAGAAAAAAGGAATTGTGTACAGTAGAAATATCAATCCTGTTGATAAGCCCCAAAGTAAGAGGAATCGAAATTATACTAGAATAAAGTGCAATAGGAGAATCACAATAATAAAAGCAGAGAGAGCATCCTCCAAGCAAGTTTCAAGAGAAGAGATAACTCATAAGTAAAGGCCCGATACAATAACCCCCATAGAATGGACAATATAGTCCAAGAGAATAACTGAGCAGATATCAAGACTAAGTAGAGGTTGGAATTTAATGTGACGGTAGGCTGACAAGTTGTGCAATGAAAAATACTTATATGTAAGTATGTAACCAAAAAACTTCGTCTTAACCAGGAAATTAGGTGCAATAAAAAAATCCACAAAATATTATTATCGTATGACACTACAAAACAACCACTAAAAAGCATTTTAAAACTAGCCCACCACCTTCTTGCCTTTGCCATTTATTTGATAGCTGCAACTTTGTCATAGAAAAATGAATCTAAATGCAAAACCTTCATGAACAAGAGATCATGCCAACACCAATTTTAACATCTATTAAATCTAACGGTGCTTCGCAAGAACAAATTCTTTAAACAAGTTAGCTTGAATATTGTAAAGCTTACCTTCCCAATAAGATACGCATAAGGGAGTAAGTATGCCATTGAAATCATTCGGATCATCACTCCGATAAAGGATAACTAACACGCACAGGTAATATCAACAGGATTAGGGTAGACATCAACTCAAATTAGATCACCATGGATATTTCATTTTTTACTCAAGTCAACTGAGATTTGAGTAAAAATGATCAAACTAGTTGAAAAAGCCAAATATAAAATGAATATTACGAGATTGTAAATATTTTTGAGTAATTTATATATGATATGTTTGTTCATTTCCATCAAGTTATCATAAATAAAATTTTATAGGTTATATAGTCAATCTTCAATAGCCAAAACTATTATGTAGCATATGACAATCTATGATGCACCAACATATCTCATCGATGTGTGTAGTGTCTGACACGTACCCGATACGACATGCATCTGACACACCTCCCACACATATCAGACAAGCCGAAAACGTGTCCGATTATAAAATATTAAATACAAATTGGACACGCGTGCCTAACACGTGTGTTTTAAATATTTTATGTATTTCTTTAATATAATTTTTTTATATTTAAATGTTTTATTTATTTAAAATATAAAAACTAAAATTTTCATTTCCTCTCCACAACACCAAATCAATCATCCGCACTACATACCCCATTCATCAATATTCTCATTTTCATTTCTCCTTGTCCAGTCGCAACTCTGGTTTCACAAAAAAGTCCAATGTCATCTCAACATCAATGTCTCATGTGGTTACAACATTAAAATTTCAAAACTATATCAACATTAGCAATTTCTACACCCACAACTTGACAGCTTATCTTTGTCTGACGTCGTCTTACTATCGATGACCAACGCCCTCTCGACATTGACAACAGACGCCCTCTTGACATCGACACCTGATACTTATTGCATAACATTGGCACCTGACTCTCAGAAACATTGTCGTCTCCTCTCCCAATGATTGATACATGGTATCGACGTCTAACTCTCGACATACTAATATTAATCATTTCAAACACAAGTTCTAGTTAAATGACTTATTATTTGTAAACTATTTTTAATATTATATTTATTCAATTTATATACACTATTTAGAATATAAAAATTATAATATTGTGTTTTACTCGTGTCCATATCCTATATTTTTATATGTGTTGCTCTGTCCGTGAGTATGCATCATAGATGACAATCCAAGCTTAGACTTTAATTGATTCTTGCAACTTTAGTAAAAATGAATTTTAACATTTCACAAGTAGCCAATGAAGACAAATTCAGCAAAAGGAGACATTCTTTGCCCGAAAGGCAGACTATAGTCACATTCTGATTAGGCTTTTTTTCCCCCTTTTACTCACTCTTTGTTTCAGAATATTTTCCTCTCCAAATATTTCAATTGAGGATGATACAAATTTAGGATTATAAGCTACATCGCCACTGACAGTCTAGCTAATCAGATTCAGGAAAAAAATGAAAATTAACTACAATATAAAAGTATCAATTGCATCCGCAATCCTGCAGATTAAAATGTTTCTTTCCGCACCAATCGGAACACAAAATGCAAACTTAATTTGACATGAAACACAAAACAACATTCAGTAGGTTAAGATTCGATGAGATTATAAGTAACGGAGTCATAAAATGACCAAGCTAATCAGCTATAATGGGATTTTTATCAATTTACGCTAATTTAACGAAAAACTGCATTTTTTCCCAAGCAGAAGCCATGAAGGGAACAAAAATTGAAATCCTTATCTAAAGAGGTTGAACTAGTGTTTGAAAAGCAAAATTGATAAAAAGCTGCATTTTTTTCCATAGAGAAGAACGAAGAGGAGACCCAAAAATGAAATCTTTATCTACAGAAGTCTATCAATTTAAACATCAGAACACAATTCATCCAGCACAAACAAATAAGAAACAAAAAAAAATAATCATGCGCAAGTAACAGCAGATTCTTTTTTTGTAAAAGAAGAACATCCAAAAGCTTCAAAGAAAAAACGTAAAAAAGGGGGATATTTGGTCACCATGTCCGAGAGCCAGGCCCGTAAGTTTTGGGATGAGAGTTCCATACATTAGAATGCCCCATCTCTATTTCGCTCGCTCTTTTCTCACAAACAAGAAAACCTAGCTCAATGCCTTGGCCGAATGATCAGTTTTATAGTTTGCGAGACTTCTGAAACCCTAATGGTACGATGGGCAGGGTAAGATTAACAAATACCCGCGGAATACGACTTTATTAATGATAGTTCATCACAAAATTAACTTGATCAGGCACGAATCTCGAGGCAAATGCTAGTTGAAAACTTCAAAAATTAATTTTGGGAGCACCCGAACTCCGATTTCAGCGAGCTTATAGTCAAACTGAGCGTCTCGGAAATACAAACCCAACAACACCAAGATCAACCCAATCCGAGCCCAAATGAGTCCGAATCAAGGGCTCAAAGCGCTGTTGGAAGGTTCAAACCGCAATTTGAGTTACCAAACGGTCTCCGATTTTGACGATCTTATACTCGAATCGAACGGCTCAACGAGAAAAATCCAACGAGCCCAAGATCGCAGAATTCCAACATCATTAAGGCTTTCAAATGCCCATCGAACGGTGTATGATCAAAGGATTCGATATCGGCCGTCCATTCAAAACACTCCCAATTCGCCCTTGATCTCACGCCTATTTACGGGCTATGCCACTCCAGAAAAACTATAAATAGAGCCCTCATTCCACACCAAAGGGGCTCAATGGAAGAGAGAGAAGAAGAAGAGGAGAAAGGGGAAAAGGAGAATCCTCACCTCCTCGACCACCGCCGGAGCTCTTCCTGCCGCCTGAAGACGCCGGAACTCTGTTGGATATTCGGGAGAACGCCAGAATTCTGCCCAACTTTCATGGGATGCCGAAATTCTTCCCAATTTGCAAAAGATTTCCCTCCTGACGTCGAAACTCCGCCCAAGAGAAGTCGGAGTTCTCCTCTACCACCAAAGACGTCGGACTTCTACCCGACGTCAGACCTTCACTCTTCGCCAAGTTTCTACCCGACGTCGGACTTCTACCGGTTATCGGACTACGCTGGACGTCTACACGAAGATGGAGTTCCTTCCATTATTGGACTTCTACCTGACGTCGTCCTTCTAATCTTCGTCGTTAGACAACAGTTCTTCTGACCTCTGTCGCCAACCGACTACGGTCCTCCTGACTTATGTCGCCCACCGAATACAGTCCTTCCGACCTTCGCCACCAACGGACTACGGTCCTTCGGACTTTCGCCGCACCACCATCTCAAGGCCCGATGTTATACTGAAGGCCCGACATTCAGGCCCGTCCGACCTCCATCAACAAACAACGGTCTTACTGACCCCGGTCTCCCGCCGACTACGGTCCTCCCGACCAAACAAACATGTCAATAGTGATTCTTTGTATTTACATCATGTAGTGTACTCCATAAGATGTGCATCAAGCTAAGACCTTCCACCAAGGAAGGGCCTCATTTATAATCGACTGCAATACTAGTGGATTTATTCAAACTGGGCTAGGCCCCGTGGTTTTCCCCCATTTTTCAGGGGTTTTCCATGTAAAAATCTTGGTGTCTCATAAATGTTAGACCCTCTCTACTTATCTGATTACGTGCCGGATTTTCGTATAACGCTAAGACGATAAACTTTATATTTCTCTACCGCCGCGAATACTCCTGGACGCAACAATTACCAATATGACACCACCTAAATTGCGCATACAAAAATTAAAATATAAAGATTTATGCAACGTTTACGATATAAATGCACTTATGTGAGAATGAAGAGAGATAAAGAGAAAATTCAAATTTTAGTTGCCTATAGCCTTTTTTTGAAAATTGTAGGGGTGTCAATATTTAACTCGACACGAAAATTCGACCCGGACCCGACCCGGAAAATTCGGGTTGGACCCGACCCGTTTGAAAATCGAGTCGGGTTCGCAGATTCTACCCGTTTGAAAAAACGGGTCGGGTTCGGGTTGCCGGGTCAACCTGAAAACCCGTTTTATTTTAAAAAATTTTGGATTCCCGCCCTTGCCTGCTGTTCCTGCCCGCTGCCCCGCGCCATCGCCCGCTGCCCTGCACGCCTCGCGATGCTGCTCCGCTGCCC